CCGCAATCCCTTCTCCTCCATTCTCCTCTCGGGATCTTGGGCACGCACGCACACGCACCCGGCTTGAGTTTTAAGCCACCGGGTCCAGGACACGAACCACGGTCGACCATGTGGGAGTCCAGCGACATAGCCATTACGCCAACTGCTGGTCCCTGGTATTTTTTATTTATTTATTTACATTCATTCACTGTGTATCATTACAACATACAAAATGAGATTTTCCATCCAGAGTGCACTGTATATTGGCTCAATCAAGCACATCAACATATATGTTATCACCAACAAATAATTTTCCACTTCTTGTTTCCTATCTGTTTTGCTTTTTTTCCCCTCATCGTTGATTCCCTATCTCTTACCCTCTGCCATCTCCCACTCTCCTCCCACACTGTCTCTGGTATCTATGTTTGCTTTCTATACTGTTTTTCCCTCACATTTTATTGAGTCACTAAAGATCTTAATTAATCTAAATATTTTCATAGCAAGCACAGCTGATATATACATTTCTATGAACACAAGTCCACTTTAGGCATAAGCTTCTATGAGTAGAATGAACATCCTATGAAGTAGCACCTAGCAGGGACTATATATCATATATATCTTACTGCAGTCATCAAATAGGTATTTTTTTTTCTGAAACTTTTTTTAACTTAATTTACATCCTTTCCCTAAGCATCGTCACAGCATACAAAATGCGATTTCCCATACAGAATATACTGCATAGTGGCTTAATCATCATATTATCATCACAAATTTTCCATTTCTAGTTTCTAGAATATTTTTTTTTACCTCCTACTTCTGACCCTCTGTCCTTTCCCACCCCACCCTCTTCTCACACTATCTCCGGTGTCTATAATTGTCTTCCATTCCTTTCCCACCCACATTGTATTGATCACACAATTTCTTAAATAATCTAACTACTTTCAATAGCAAGTTGACGGCCTTTTTCACTTCACAATTACGCCCATTAATAGTGTGGTATTTCTGAACAACAATTTTCAACTGTATCACGATCATCAAAATTTACAAAAGCAAATCCTCTCTTTTTCCCACTCTGTCGATCTTCCATAACTTCTATGATTTCAATCTTGCCAAACTTTTCAAAGTAGCCTCCCAAATTATATTCTTCTGTATCTTCTTTAATACCACCAACAAAAATTTTCTTCACTGTCAGATGGACACCAGGCTTTACAGAATCATCTCTAGAAACAGCTCTCTTTGGTTCCACTACACATCCATCAACTTTGTGTGGGCGAGCACACACTGTGCATCCACCTCTTCCACCCTGGGAACGCTTTTTTTGGGGGTCTCTCATTACCACACAATCTGTGAGTGTGCCCCATTTCTCAAAATGTTCTCTTAAACTATCATCTGTAGTTTCAAAGCTCAGGCCACCAATGAACAGTTTTCTCAACTGCTCCAATTCCTTTGGATCATGACCCTCCTCCCCTGGGAGGGGTGGCAACGCCCAGAGTCAGGCTTGGGGCGACCAGGCGGCGGTTTTACCTTCATTTTGAGACCGGACTTGCCTATTCCAACTTGAGTTCCTCTCTTAACTACTTTTGAATCTATAAAATTCTCTGTCTTTCTTACTAAGCCTTTTTTTTCCCCCTGATAGAGAGTGGGTGGAGCCCACAATAGATTTGTTGTCCTGTAGTTTCTTTTGATCTCGATTTTGCTAATTATATCTCATTTTGTTATAGCGTATTTTTCTGTCCTTTATATTTTCTATAAATCGGTAGTTAATTCTGAGTCTTGATCACATATATGTATGTATTTATTTGGTCAAGACTACATCAGAGGCAGTATTATGTAATTCCATATAACATTTTGTTTCTCTCCAGTTAAGATCATTATACCTATAATACATCCATGAATTCATTAAGGTTTCCATACATTTTTTCTTATTCCTCTCTGATAATATTCCATATAGTATTCAACCTGGTCTTTATGAAATGCTAACCATATCAAGTCACAGGTTCTTTAAAACCTTTCATAATAAATTTGATAATCTTTAAAATAGCTTCCAAGGTCCTTCGTGATCTGGCTTCTAGGTTTCACTTTATATTGTGCTCAACACCCTTGCTCTCCTACAATTCTTAGTTCCCTACATGCTCTGTCCTTTACTCTATCCCTCTTTTTTCAACTACTGCTCTAGCAAAGGCAAATGCATGCCTTTATTTCACTGATTCCCATTCATCTTTCAAGTGTCAGATTAAACATAATCTTCCTAGTAAAGTGCTTTGACCTCACAGGCTAGGTTAAATCTTCTTGACAAATGGTTCTACAATACACCTGACATCTCTTTTGTAATATTCTTCATACTTTTAATCATTTGTTCAATGACTTTTTTCCTTGATCATTATAAATTTGGGCAGAGAGATCAGTCAAGTGGCATAGAGGTTTAGGTGGCTTGATTCCTCATAGCCAACTGAGTAGTTTGAATCCCAGACATGGTAGCTTGAAAAGCACATACCAGTGTGCTATGTGCACACATGCCCCAAATCCCATATGGTGTGGCCATCTCCCTGGGGAGTTATTTCTTACCTTCTCTCTAGATAACACATACATCCATAACAAAAACAAAATTAAATTAAAAATAATAAATGAGAACAGAGATTACTATTATATTGTTCCGGTTAGACCTCAGTATGTTAGACCTCAATGTCTAGCATGGTCTAAATACTGTGTGTTTTTAATAACTAGTTGTTGAATTAAGGTGAAATTAAAAAAAAAAATCTCTCATGGCCAGTCAGATAGCAAGGTGGTTAAGGCAGCTGGATCTCACATGGCAACTGCAAGGTTCATGTACCAGACCTGGTAGCTTGAAAAGCACTATGGGCACATGTGCATACATGCTTCAAATTCCAAGGGGGAGGAGAAGGAATTGTAGCATGACCCCCTTTGGGGAGTGATTTCTTATTTTCTCTGTTTCAGGCAAGTGCACATGCACTATAATAAACTAAAAAAAAAAAAAAAAAGATCTTTCTGTAGGTATTGATTATGCCTCTTTTAAAACTATTATTATGAAATAGTTAAGATTTGCAAATGATATTTTAGAGCATAATAAATAAAGCATCAAAAATATATGAAATGTTCAACATTAATTCACTTAAAAGGCATACAAAAATGATCACATGCCAATTTAGAATAAACAAATACCTTTTTTTAACACTCACTAGCCTTTTTGGTTTTTTTTTTCGAAAGATTTTTGCTATAGGGCACGTGCGCTCGCCAGACAGAGAGAAACAGAGAGACAAAAAGCAAGAAATCGCCCCCAAGGGGGGATGGCTACACCACAATCCTTTCTCCTCTTAGGATTTTGGGTGTGTGCGCACATGCACCTGGTATGGGACTCAAACTGTGGTCGAATACGTGGGAGTACAGCAACATAACCATTATGCCACTGGCAGATCCCAACAGTCACTGGACTTTAATGAGCATTCTTTTTCTTTTCTTTTCTTTTTAAAGAATCATTTAATTCCATTTGTTATTATTATATTTTAAAATTTGATCAGAAAGAGATAGAGAGAAAGGGAAAGGTAGAAAGCAAGCCTCCAGGTCCAGGACTCAAACCACAGTCGGCCATGTGGGAATCCAGTGCCTTTAACCACCATGCCACCTGCTAGCCCAATGAGCATTCTTTTTCTATAATTTATGATAAAAATCTCTTTGAAGAACAAAAGAGCAGCAAATAATGTTAAAACAACAAGAACAAAAATCCTTACTTTTATGAAGAGGAAGGGGCTTAATAAGATCTGGCTGTGCTTGACTCATAGGTGTGGGTGGTCCTTTTCCTCCAATATGATTGTTAACAACAGGATTCTGCTGTCTGCCTCTTAAGAGTGGAGACATACATCTACGTCTTTTAGGGATCCCTTGCATATTTGGTTCTCCAGGTCGTTTGTGTTTATTTTGAGGTCCAGCAACAAATTCATCTGCTTCATCTATCATCATACCCTATAACAACAAAAAAAAGAATATAATTTTCTTGGATTTATATACAGTTATTAAATGGCATAATTAATCCCAATTCTCATTAAAATAACTACTGGCTTGTCACAAAAGTCATGACACATTTTTGCATAGAAAAAGACTTTTCCAACAACCCAATATATTCAAACTACGTTAACACTGTTTTACTGTACAATAAAAAGATTTCAGCATATTTTAGTTGAAACTTTTAAATTCTCACAGACAAATTTTGTAATAGAAAATCTCAAACTTACCTTCTTATCCAGCTTGAAAGGGTTGCCAAATGTATGCAACCTTCGCGGCTGATCAGGATCAAGTTCTCTAAGTGGAGAAGGTACTTGCTTGAGGTATTCTTGGTAATTCCCCATTTGTGCTATAGGGACACTGTGCACTTGATCTTTTCAAACAGAATATAGAACAACAAAAGTTAACCTCACTAAAACTATACTCCATCTAGTTATCAAATGACTTCTTATATACAAATTAGCGCTATCTAGTGTTAGTCTATACACTCTTCCATTACCACATATTCCAAATTCCTTTGGTACAATTGTAAATATTATGACAAGTCTTTGAGATTTGTAAAATAAAATTTTAAATGTTGATTTCATTTCTAGACAGAACAAAAATGTGTGGTTAATTTATCCTTATAGGATAAACAATGTAGATAATCTTACCATGTAATTTTTTCTACTCTCTTCCAGATAAGCAAAATTATACAATTTTTAGAAACAAGATGAATATAGTAAAGTAGAAAAGAGAAGTAACATTGTTAACCCTTTACTTAAAGAAATAGTTAGAATGCTTAAACGAGAGATGGCAAGAGTTAAGTTCTCATCTAATTCATTTGTGGTCCATGGATAGTTACAGAAAATATCAGCATATGCCATGTATTAGCCATCCAGAGTTAAGTCACCAGATACCAATGTATCACAAGAAAATGACAACGAGGAAAGCTAAAAAGGAAACTAAACTGTTCACAAAAGTTACCTCTGTGGAATAGGATTTAGGACAACAATGATGGTAGAAAGAAAGGACAGAATCAGAGATTACTTAAATTGTCTGAATTTACAATGAGGCCATAAGATCATTAGAGTGATTCTTTTAAATTTACATCATGTTACGCTTTCTCAGACTATAAAGATGATTTCTAAAAAATACCAATACTGAAACTATGATCTAACCTTCATCCTGTCCTTTAAGAAATCTGCGAGTGCTCTTCAAAAGATTAGATCTCATTCTTGTTAAGTGATCCAAAAGATTCCGTCTGGGTATGTCATAAGCATTTCTAAATGTTTGTGGCTTCAAATCCTATTGAAAAATATTCAAGGACAAAATTTATTTTCAAACACAGAATTAGGGGTGACTAAAATCTCTAAACTGCAGCAAAGGTAAGGAAACAAAAAGTACACTTAGCTTTCAAAAAATACATACATATGATACAACCTTAACGTACTCCTTTGGGACAAAAATTAAAAATCTGGTAGTGAAGCTCCACCAAGTAATCTCAAATTTTTATCTAACTCTAAATATTTTGTCATATATTCTGCATAAGAGAAGTAAATTCATAGAAGTAAAAACTCATTTCCAAATTTTAAAGCCTGAATGAAGGTTTCTAATTAATAGCTTTTGTGGTCAAGCAGGTGGCATAGTAGTTGAGGTGCCAGACACCCATATGGCCAACCACAGTTCAAGTCCTGGGTCTCGTGGCTTGAAACTCACATTATGTGCATTTGTGCCCAAAATCCCAGGACAATGGAGGAGGGATTGCAGCATGGCCATGGGATGATTTCACACTTTCCCTCTCAGTCTTTCCAACAAATGTATGAACCCTACGGCAAAACCTAGCTAATATGCAATTTATATACCATAAAATCAATTTTAAGTATACAATTTGATAAATATTAGTAAATTTGTATCTATAAAATCATCACCACAATCCAGTTTTAGAATACTTCCATCACCATTCCAGAAGTTTCCTGTATCCACTTAGCCAATCCTTATTCTTATCCCAAGCAACCACTGATCTGCCTTCTTCTGAGTTTCCACATTCCATTTTATAAACTGAATTTCAGAGTGTCTAACTTTTTATATCTAGCTTCTTTCACTTAGCGTGATGTTTGAGATTCATCCATTGGTGTTAATGTATAGTGATCTGTTCCTTTTTATTCTAGACTAGTATTCCATTATATAGAACTACCATATCTTTTTTTTTAAAGGTTTTTGCCTTAGGGTGTGTATGCTCACACATGAGAGAGACAGAGACAGTTAGAGGGCAAGTGGGAAATCACCCCCTCACCCCACTCCCAGAGGATGGCCATGCCATGATCCCTTCTTCTCCATTTTCCTCTCAGAATCTTGGGCACGTGCCCGGTGTAAGTTTCAAGCCACCAGGTCTGAGACTTGAACTGTGGTCAGCCATGTGGGAGTCCAGCAACATAACCATCATGCCATCTGCTGGTCACTATCATATCTTTTTATGTATTCACCATTTGATGGATACCTGGATTGTTTAGCTATTATAATGACTCTACAATGGACATTTGCATACAAAGCCTCTTTGTGGAATACACATTTTCATTTCTTGGTTATATAGTTATAAAGCAAATACATGTTAAATGTTTTTAAAACCTGCAAACTATTTACCATCAGCAATGTCTGAGAGTTCCACTTGCTCCATTAAAAATACACTTGTAAGTTTTCGTCATTTACCAGCTATGTATGAAGTGGTTGGTATCTCATTATGGTTTTAATTTGCATTTCCCTAATGACTACTAAGGTTGAACTTTTTTTATATGCCTATTTGCATTTGAATATCTTCTAGGAAGTGTCTGATCAAATATTTTGCCAGCTTTTATTAGAGTAATTATCTTTTTATTACTTAAGTTATATGGGTTCTTTGTATTTTTTGATATAAGTCCTTTATCTGACATATGCTTTTTTCCCAAACTATTGTTTAACTGTTCATTTTTTGACAGTTTCTATTGAAGAAGAAAATTTTTATTTAACAAAGTTCTATTTATCAACATTTTTGTAATTCAGAAATCTTCACTAACCCAACATCATAAGATTTTTCTACTATATTTTTTTCTGTTTATAGTTTTAGTTCTTACATTTAAGACAAAGATCACTTCAAGTATTGGGAGGGTAGGGTCAAGTTCATTACTTTATATATGGATATCCAATTGTTTCCACACCATTTGTTTAAAAAACTGTCTTCTCACCCACTAAATTATTTTAGCACCTTTCTTAAAAATTTACAGTATGAATGAAGGTCTATCTCTAGACTCTATTCTGATGCACTCATCTATATATTTATCCTTATGCCCATACCACATTGTGTTTATCACTTAGTTTAACATTAAGTTTTAAACTCAGATAGTATAAATCCTTCAAATTTATTCTTCTCCAAAATTGTTTTACCTAATGTAGGATTTTTAGGTTTCCATACAAATTTTAAAATCAGCTTACCTATTTCTGTAAAAAGGGTGCAGTAATGAAGATATTTTTAACAGTGAGTATTCATAAAGCCTATTTTGGGATCATGCTGTGGGCCTAAGGTCATCAATATAAGTACCAATTCTACCACCAGCTATGTAACTTTAGGCAATCTCTAAGCCTCTGTTTTCTCATTTAAAATACATTTTGGACAGTCAGCCCCATAGCACTGTAGTAAAGCACTATACATAGGAAGACATATCCCATATAGTCAACCATGGTTCTAAATCCCAGCCTCAGTGGCTTTAAAAAACATGCCTGGCAAATGTGTGCATATGCCCTGGATTCTCATGGGATGAAGAAAACAAGAAAAAGTCACTGCTGAATGACCATGCCCTACGGGAGGCTGCTTTCTCTCTCTCCCCCACTTCCCTCTCTCTAGAGAACACATATACTTTCTTGCAATTAAAAATAATAAAAATGAAATAAAAAATGAGTGGGTTAGTTTATTCCTCAATCCAGTCATTCAGTCACATACCGTGTACAATGCTTTGTTTCTACAATTTTAAGATCCAGTGACAATTAAATGACCATTATTCTGCAGAGATATTAAGTATTTTTAAAGTCCAAACAAACTAAATGTCAGCTAACAGAAAATTTGATTTATTTAACAAAACAGAACATAACTAAAATAGTACTAAATTCACATGACTATTACCTTATTCAACAAAGCAACTTGGAAACCAGTATATTCCTTCATATTAAGGTCTAGCAGTCTATGAGGAACATCTTCTGAAATTCCCTGGAGCAGCTGCTGAAAATCCTTCCTGTATGCCATTGATAAACCATGTGATCGGCTTCGGACTTTAATTCCGGTTTCCTGTACTACTTTTTTACCTACAGATCCAATGACTCGATCAGATTCTATTTTGGCCTAAAATAAATATTAAACAAGAGTTATCTTAAGTATTAAATTGGTAAACAAGACTGATTGGTACATTTTTATGGTTAAAATTCCTGGCCCAAGGGCCAGCGGGTGGCATGACGTTTAAGGTACTGGATGGACTTCTACGTGGCTGACTACAGTTGAAGTCCCAGACCTGATGGCTTGCTTTCTCACTTTCCCTTTCTCTCTCTGGTCAAATTAAAAATAACTATAATAACAAATAAAATTAAATAGTTAAAAAAAATTCCTGGCCCAGTCAGCCTAAAACACATAAAGCATTCAAGTGAGTGCCCAAAAGCAATGGAGCATAGGACTAGAAACCTCAAGGGAGGAGACTACAATGTGACCAGACCATGTAGAAAGTGTATATCTCTCTCACTCATATGTGCAAACCCATATGCTCTATCATGAATTTTAAAAATAAAAATAAATACTTATGGATTTTTATAAATCATGTATATTTTTTAAAGTATATACGAATATGATAAAGTCAAGTAGCACAGTTTACGTCATGTACTGGGTAAATTAAACATAGTTTAAACAATAATGTCTTCCAAATTACAACTCTATACTTTTAGAGCAGGACAAACACAACTTCGATTTGTTATTTTATCTATTAACGCCCACTACACTTAAGCCATAAAGAAAACCTGAATGAAATGAACCCTTAATATATATTCCCAATTCAAAGAGATAGAAAATTAGAAAAAAAAATTCTCAGCAATGTTTACTTAAAAACACTGCTATTAGCACATAACTAAATGTTCACAGCTATGGCAAACAGTGATGCAGTTTTTTACTGGTAAGTAAACAGCAATATTTTGACTCCTTCCAAACTGCAAGGAGTTATGGTAGAAATGTCAGAAGTCCTGTAACAACAATGTGTTTCTTAGTCTCTTAGTAGGACATTAATAATTTGGTAGTCAATTAAACTCTGTGCTACTTGGCCATCATAGTATCTATTACTGTGATGTATAACAAGAATGGCAGTTAGCATAATGGCTATATTGCTGGACTCCACTGTAGTCAACCATGGTTCGCATCCCAGATCCGGCGGCTTAAACAACTCACGCCAGGCATGTGTGCGTGCGTGCCCAAGATCCCAAAAGGAGAATGGAGTAGAAGGGATTGCAGCTTGGCCATCCCCCTGGGGGGTGATTTCTCGCTTTCTATCTCTCTGTCTCTCTGATGAGGACGCACGCCCTATAGCAAAAAAATCCTCTCCAGAAAAATAAAAAATCTTAAAAGACAAATGAATAATGTTCACACATAGGAAATCTCACACCAATGAAGCCATTTTCATAAATTAGGAATTATAAAATTTGAAAATTAACATTTCAAAAAATTACACCAGTTGAGATAGAATTATGCTAATATATGATCTATAGGGCTTCAAAATGTATTAAGTAAAATAGAATTCCATTAGAACCAATAACTAGCTTCTAGGCTGTTAACCATCTTAGCCAAAATCATCCAAAATACTTAATAGCTCACTCTATTTCTTGACCTTACCTGCTGGCTCAATTTCTTGAGGTATGAAATTACACTGTAACTAAGTCCATATTCCATACTATCTGCTATTAGGTTAGGTGCACCCATCATTCTAACAGCTTTCTTCAAAGGCTACAGGAAGAAAAGGACACATCATTCAAATTTAAGCTTGTTAAAAATGTATAGGCCCATGTATAAAGTTTGTTTTAAATATTTCTCTAAGAAAATTCCTCTTCTTGCACTCAATAAAGAACTGGTACAATCATATTTGCATTTTAGTAAATATTATAAGTATCATGGAAGGCAGCTTGAAATAGTTAAAAAGGACTAGTGGCCATAACAACAATCTTCAGGAAAAGTAGGGTGAAGTATTGGACTCATTTGCACTATTGGGAGTTAATGGCCAGAAAACACACTGTAGAGTTATCTCTGATAAAACTCAGTAAGTTCAAAGTACTCAAGAAAAATACAATATTTCCACCTTGGGTAACTGGCTGAGTTTGTAGCTCAACTACTCATTAGCTAGGTAACACTGTGTCAAGATATAGGACTTCTCTGTGCCTTTAATTTTCATTTGAAATGGGAATAATACTACTACCCTCAGAGGGTTGTAATAGGATTAAACACATGTAAAGCACTTATAAAAGCATCCAGCACATGAGACTAGCAGATGGTGTAATGATTACATCACTGGACTCCCACCTAGTCAACTGAGTCCCAGACCCACTGACTTAAAACTCACACCAGGTACATGTGCATGTGTGCCCAAATCCTAAGGGGAGAGTGGAGGAGAAAGGACTATGACATGGCCATTCCCCAACCAAGGGGGAAGGGGGTGAATTCTCGCTGTCTCTTTGGCAAATGTACACACCCTATAGCAAAAAAAATCTCTCTTAAGGAAAAAAAAAGCATACAGCACAGAATAAGCACTCCATACACATATTAATCTTTACTATTATTACCATTAGCTAATCTGAAAAAAAGGGAAGCTTTGAAGAAAACATAAGCAGGAGGAAAACACAGTATAATATTTACCATGGATGTGATATAATAAAAAAAACAAATTGTAAGAGGAGACTAGTTAAGAATTGTTTAGTACAATAAAAAAAAATCACTTACAGGAGTGTCTAGCATATGTAAATTGGATACAGACAGAAAAAAAGATGATAGCAGTTGATATCAAAAGTAAGCACTGCTTCAAAATGGAATCAAATCCCAGTTCTGACATTTAATATCCATGTAGCTTTGGCTAAGTCCTCAAGGTTGCTATGAAACATAAATGAGTCAATATATGTAGCAGTCCCTGTTCAAAGTGCTTCTTCCTTTTTACCTTTTACTTAGCAGGCACTGTGTGCAAGACTGATTTTCAAAGCTCAAGAAATTAATCTTCAAATTATATTAGGGACCATTTAGAAAGATCAGTTACAGCCCAATGCTATAGTATTCCTACATGACAAGCAGAAGTAATGTTTAAAAGTGGTTTTAATGTAGGTTTTTTGTTAAGAAGTTAATTTTCACAAACTAAACAAATTAATGTATTCGACAGTGGTATTGGTCTTAACTAGTATGATGCACTGGTTTTAAAGTAATCAAGTTTCTAAAAGTATATGATTCTATTCAAGGATATATACTTACTCACCTTAAAGGGATTTCTAGAGATTTGAAAAATAATACAATAAACCCATTTTGTACCCTTCAAGAGGAACAATCATAAACTACAATTTAAAAAGGTAACAATCAAGGTCAGAAACCAGACTCCTTCTAAAGCCAGAATGAATTCTAGTCCCCCTTACCTACTATATTAACTATGGAAAAATAACTTCATCTTTTAATGCCCTAGTTTCCTCATCTGTGAAACGGAAACAATAACCATTTCACAGGGTGACTGTATGAGCTGAATGATATTATTGTACATCAAGGGCTCAGGACAGTATCTGGCCTAGAGCAAGCAGTATATAAATGCGATCATGATCACGGTCATTATTCTGCAAGTCACTGAAACCTATATCTTTACTATTACATCTACAGTGGTCATTTATATACTCAATTTTCCTGTCTTTTAATCTAAAACTGTAATAAATAAAAGTTTTAGTCCTGTAAAAAACTATAAGCATATAAAATATTATAACAAGTTCTATTTTATATTATATTCTTACCCCGAGATAGTAAGGAGGCATTGTCTTCAAATAACTTTCAAAGGACTGTCTCCATTTCAATGTTGGTTTTGCTTTATGCACTTTAAATAAGTCATCTAAAAATGTATGTGAACAAACTATCATTCATTGTTTACACACATAAAAATCAAGTCAAAAAAGTTTCTTTTTTCAAGTCTGCTTTATTACACATGAGACAGTAACATCAGACATAAGTTTTCAACAAAATTAAAAGCAGTATAATTTCTGGTTTTGGCATTTTCTCATTCATAATACCATTTTAAAAAGAAAAAAGGAGGAGCCAGCAACTGGTACAGAGGTTAAAGTGGCTGGATTCAGCATGGTCAACTGCATGATCAGAGTCTTAGACCTAGTGGTTTAAAAATCATACAGGGTGCCTGTGGATGCCCAAAATCCCAAAAGGAGAATGGAGAAGGGATCGTGGCATGGCCTTCCATTCTGGGGGTGATTTCTCACTTCCTGCATGCCTCCCTTCATCCCTGTCCTCTGGAAAGTGCATGTGCCCTATAACAAACTAAAAGGGAAAAAACACACACACACACACACACAAAGGCAGCCTGCTGTATAGCCTAGTAGGTAAGGGAGCCAGATCCCACATGATCAATCATGGTTTTGTATCTCAGTCCCAGTGGTTTGGAATCCACACCATGCACATGTGTGTGCATACCCACATTTCTACAGGATGGAGAAGTGAAGGAGAAAAGATTACAGCATGACTGCATTATATTGAAGGGTAATTACCCCCACCCCTAACTCTGCTTTTGTAAGCTAAAACATAGTCTGACAATTTAAAAAAAAAAAAAAAAAGAAAGAAAAAAAGAAAAGAAAAGAAAAAGAAAAGAAAAAAGGTGGGCAGCTCTGTGGCACAGTAGTAATGTGCTCCTCAACAGAAGCCAAATCTCACATGGTAATATTAGTATAAATCCCAAGCCTGGTCAGCCTGAAACATGCCAGGTATGAACCAAGTGTCCAACATCTGACATGTTGGAGGACCAGAGAAAGGGATCATAGCATGATCAGATCCTATGGAAGGTTCTCTCTCTCTCTCTCTCTCTCTCTCTCTCATTCTTGTGCACACACACTATCATGAATAAAAGAATAAATATTTCTTAAATATGTTATAGGGCACATGTCCTCACCAGAGAGAAAGAGAGAGAGGGAGAAAGAAAACACAGGAAAGATTCCCCCATGGGTATGACCACACTCCAATCCTTTCTCCTCCATTCTCCTCTTGGGATTCTGAGCACACATGTCAGGTGTGTTTTTCAAGCCACAAGGTCTGAGATTCAAACCATACAGTAGTCCATGTGGGATCCAACTACCTGAAGAACTACCACGCCATCTGGTTGCCCATTTCAAAAAATTTTTAATGTAAACATGCCAATTATAGTCTAAAGTTATCTGTAAAAATGAAAATTAAAATTAGAAAACAAGCAAGGAAAATATACGCCCTGTCTAAATCTAGATGCAGATTTGAGGATAGAAACAAAGTATGCACATTTTTTATAGAACATACCTATCAATATTTTGACTATGACTTTTTTTAAAACAGATTTTTGCTATAGAGCACGCACACTCGCAGAAGAGACAGAGAGACAAAAAAAAAAAAAAAAGATAAATCACTCCCTCAGAGGGGATGGCCACACCACAATCCCTCTCCTCTCCAGATTTTGGGCATGCATGCACACATGCCCGGCATGAGTTTCAAGCCACTGAGTCCAGGACTTAAATTGCAGTTGGCCAAGTGGGAGTCCTACACCACCTGCTGGCCCCTCAACTATAATTTTTAAATCTGATCTAATTTCATGAATAGAACAAAATTTTTCCAACAGTATTCATCACAAAAATGATAGCCAAATGTTCATAGAAACTAATTTTAAGCTTTTATTATATTATTTTGGAACAAATTTCTTTATTTAAACAAAAATAAAACTTGCCAAATGAGAAATTAAAATGTAGAAAGAAAATACTCAGATCTTGTGTAACAGTATGCTACAAAATGTCTTATGGGCAAGGTGTGGTGGTTAAGCAGTTGGATCCCACAGGGACGACCATGTAATTCAAGTCCCAAACTTGGTGCCTTAAGAAACATGCCAGGCAAGTGGGTACATACTCAAAATCCCTAAAGGAAAAAAATGGAGAATAACTGCAATGTGACCATTACCAATTCTAACCATGTAAAAGTAACTTGCAGAAAAATTAGAATATGTAACCTAAAATATAATGCCTGGGGGGCAGAAAGTGGTGTGGTGGCTAAGGCACTGGACTCCTACATGGCCAATAGTAGTTCAAGTTCTGGACCTGGCAGCTTGCTTTCTCACTTTCTCTCTCTCTCTGATGAGCACAGATGCCCTAAGGCAATTAAAAAGTAATTATAATAATAAATAAAATAAAATAAATTCTTTAAAAATATATATAAATGTATATAAAATGCCTGTATTCGTTTATAGAATAGAAGGTATTCATTCGGGCACTGACTTTTAATTTACCACAAACTGAAAAATGTTTTTTAAAAAAAAGTTGCAAAAATTTCCCTAAATAGGTTTAATGTTTTAGAATATTAAAAACCTTTTCATTATTTCCAGAAAACAAGAAAAACTACAAAGAAATGTTGTCGCAGTTTCTCTTTAGGAGAATTTTTATATATGCCAAGCCACAGAGAACATGACAAAAATGACTTACCTAAAAGGGGGAGGAGGACCGGATAATTGTAAGGCATTACAAATAAGTTGACACAGTTCAGTGCTGTACTGGCTTTCAAGTACCCAAAAGGATGACCAAGTTCACTGTATTTTGCACTATTGCTCACATACACCTGTGAATAAGCAGTGATTAAAACTTCATATCCAATAGCTTTAAGGCAATGTTAAATAAACTACTGATCGAATTTAAATTTTTAAGAAACATCTTACTGAAATTTTTAGATCACCTGTGTCGATTTGCTCACCTGCCAACATGTTTGAGGAGATTTCCTTTCCAGGATAAATTGAGTCAGTGGTGAAGGTTCCAACTCGTATTTGTCAAAAGGCAGTTTGTCAATAACCATCGGCTCACAGTCTGTACAGGAAAACTTCACTATGGGATGAGATGTACGAGGTGGCTAATGGGGAAAAGTCTTATTATTAATATATTTACATAAAAATACCAGAAACATAGTCATCTTAAGTACTCCTCACTATCAACATTTTCTCAGCTCCTCAGTTTTGCTACTGAGTTTAGTTTATAACTAAAAGCAAATATGAAAGAATATATAATGCTTATATCTCCAAAGAGACAAAGATTTGAACATTTATTCAAAAATCTTTTAATTCTTAAATTCAAGTTATCAAATGTTAAAGCAATATTTTGAAATCAAGTATTAATTTTTATATTCAAGGAAAAAAAACCAAATGTATTGAAACCTCCATAAATCCTTTTATAAGAATTTAATTACTTAAATAGAGTAGTGACTTCCAAATTAATCATATACTTTGTTTGGTTTTTGAATCTGCAATTTTAGAACATGTAGGTATTTATTCATAAATTATTAATATAGATGTACATAATAAAGTATATAACAAAATAATATTAAAATAAAAACATAAGGTTCTAATGTTTTCTTGTTAAATCACTCCAGTGAACTGTTTCAGTTATTCCTGTAGCATACACACCCTATTTTGAAGAGCCCCATTCTAGAAGTATAAAAAACACAATTCTTTTTTTTAATAAAAAGCATGTTACTCTTCTATTTACACTTTTTACTCCTCTTCCTAAAAATCTCATGAACTGTGAAGAAAAGACAAGCTATGAGCAAATAACTTGAAATTTCATAGAGCTTTAAAAAAGATTATAGTGACCTCAGTTACCACCTATCGCCTGACGGCCCACATCGCTACTGTGCTCCTATATTGACACCATATCTTTCATTTCTCTTATTGTATCTGCTTACTACTGGACATTTTCTACTAGTCCCTCAGACACATTATGTCCAATTCATTATTTCTTCTCCAAACCACATAACCTATTCCAAAAACATAAATGTTACTCTTAATATCTGTCCCTCATACACTATATTATCCTTCACAAAGGCTGAGCTAAAGTACTTACTAGAACACATAAACATGACAGGTGCTCAGTCTAGTTGCTGCCTTCCATCAATACCAAATTCTCACCTCTCTAGAAACAGATCTTCCATTTCTTACCACTTTAATACAGTCTTTCAATCATTCCAGTTAGACTAGCATGACTGACTTCTAATTAATATCCCTGATTAGTCAGCCCCCTCTTGTTAATCCTGTGGCCATGAAATATAAACATAATTACACTACCTAAAATTACTTAGTAAAAGTAGCAGAGTATTACCTAAAAATAGGGCCTTGACTCTTAATATGACATACAGAGATCCCTGGTGATCTGGTTCCTACCTACCTTTCCACCAACACAACATAGAGACCCTGGGCTGCAGCCAGTCATCTACTTTGATGCCTGTATCACTTGCCAACCTTGACTACTTTATTGTTTTCTCCCTTGTGTATTACAAACTAAGTTTAAAGAACAAGTGGGCAAGAACCAACCCCTAATAGACGCCTTTCCTGATATTCCTTTCCCACTTGTACCCCAAACACACATCATGTAGTAAGACCCACTTCCTTGGGCTCTGCTCCATCCCTCTATTACAGCTGGCAGACTGGACTTTATGATGTGTACATGTCTGACCTGCCCATGGAATGGTACAACTCAAGAGGGCACTACATGTTACTCATCTTGTACTCCTATACCAGCATGCACCTGATATACAGCTTATTCAACTGGTCCATGAGACACACTTTTTGAAGGAAGATATTGAGATTCAAAAAGTGAGGAGAAAATCCTCTAGAACTTGAGCAAAGAAAAATTTGTATATATTATTTCATTTAATCCATGAAACAATCCTATGAGATAGGAGTTATTGTCTCCATTTAAAACATGAAATTTACTGAAGCTTAGAGAACAAAATTAACTAAAGGCACACAGCTATTAACTGCTAGAGTCGTAATTCAAATTCAGAACCAGACTCTAATAAATCATTTAATTTTAACAGTATTTCTTGTTTGAAATACTATTATAATTTATAAAAATTCACTTTCCTTGTAATATTCTAAAGTTACAAATTGTGCCAATTCTTTCCAATATTATTTCTTATGAGTCTCTCTTCTATCATCTTAGTTCAAACTCAGTATCTCTTATATGAACCATTTAAAAGTCCTCTAGGTAACCTATCTGCCTTCTAATTTATCTCCTTTTAATTTTGCTATATATGACAACCTCTAATTTAATTTTCCTAAAGCAGCATTCTGGTAAAAATATTCTTAATTGTCTTTTGGACACCACTGTAAAAAGCTCACATTTCTTAACCTTGCATTTAAAGTCATGAAACACTTAGTTTATTTACTAAGACTCTCAATGTCTTACATACATGCAATGTCTTACATACATGTACGATCTACCAATACACAGCTACTTGTCACTCTTCTAAACATACCTTGTTCTTTTTTGCTTGCATATTTTTTTCTCACACTACTTGTTCCTCCAACTGAAATCCTACTCACACTCTATGGCTTGTAACAATTTGCAAAAGACCAAGAGTACATTAATAGATAAGGGTTGGTCAGACCATGGGCTGTGGTCTGCAAGGGTGGAGCCACATGGGAAGATAAGGGTTGGTCAGACCATGGGCTGTGGTCTACAAGGGTAGAGCCACATGGGAAGTCCAAGTTTGCATCCTAGATGAAACTGAACACACTGGGTGTGGCAGCACACCTGTGATCCTGGCTGGCTGGGAGACTGAGCTAAAAGGATTGCGATGTGGCAAGGTATAGACCCTATTTTTTTTTTAAAGAATTATTTTGTTTATTTATTATTATTATTTCACATGAGTTTTGCCAGAGAAAGACAGACAGAGAGAGGGAAAGTGAGAAAGCAAGCGGCCAGGTCTGGGACTCGAACCGTGGTCGGCCATGTGGGAATTCCAACGCCTTAACCACCATGCCACCTGCTGGCCCCCAAGATATAGACCCTATTGAGGCTCCCTAACTATCTGTCTCTCTCAAAGGAAAAAAATATATAAATAAACTTGAAAATAAAAATAAGTAAGGCTTATGATACTGGTTTTGAATTTCTTCCAATTACCTAATAAGTATCAAATACACTGCAGTAGATATTATATAAATAGAATGAATAGCCAACAAGATAATATTCATACCAATATGAATGCTATCTGTTCTATAAGAATTAAACAGAAGAAAAAGTAAAATAACCAAAGAAATAGAAGGCTTAAAAATCTATAGTGGTTCAATTAGAAAAATGAAAAGAAATAAGAAGGATACCTCACTGAAATTTATAATATCTTAGTTTTCTGTATTACTTCATTAAATCTCTAATGAATAAAGGAAATATCATTTTATAGATCTTATATAGACTAAGAGTAAAAATTATCTTGAAAAGTTGATAGTCTTTTCAAGTACAAAGGGTTTCAAAATGGATTCCATTTCCTTCATAAATGATTATCTGAAATGAAACATCATTAAAGATCTTTGAAATATAATTCTTATCTTCTAAGAGTAATATCAAAGACAACCACTGACATACTCTCCCATAAAATATGCCTTGATGTCCTAACATTCTAGGGGGGAAAAACTCATCTGAAAAAAAGTGTACTAAGAAGACTGAACAAATATTTATGTGTAAAAATTTACCCTATTATTACAAGAACCATATAATGAACACTGATAATTTGCCATGACGTTCAACAAGCCTCCTTGTTCCTAAAAATAATTTATGTAAACAAGACCAGAAAATCTTTTTGAGCTTAAACTTGCAGACTGCAGCACTAAATAAAACTAAAATCATGTAAGTCAACATGAATTTCTAAGACTGACATAAAAGACTGCAGACAAACTATCAGATTTTCTAAGGCTTCAATTAAATTTTAAACTGTGTTCCAGAAGCATATCTCATGCTATATTATGTTTAGAGAAAATCTTGCTACACTTTTCTGTACCCAGATGCCAATAATAAAAACATAAACATTGTACAAGGAAATAAATGACTTTTTTTCTATTATTTCATAAAGCACTACAGAGTATACTAAAGAAAGTAATAGCTTATCACACAACTTTGAATATCTAATTCCCATAAATGAGTCATACCGTTTAACTGATGATAATACTCAAAACTAATATGAGAGGCAACTAAAATGGCTACTATCATGTAGTCACAGTTTCTCTGGTACTTACTAGTGTTGGAGAATTCTGATCTGGCCAAAAAGATTCTGGAACAGGCCAATGACCTATGGGAACCCCAGTTTTAGGATTTGGTCTGACATAGATGAGTTTGTGACAGCTATGCCAAGGCTGAGATCCAAAAGGCCTTGATATATCTGGCTGCCCATCTATAGCAAAAAAAATTAAGACAAAGCATATTGCATTAGGGGAAAAAATGTAAGCAATTAAAATTATGTCTATCATTACTTAATTAAAAGGTCCTAATAGTTGTTCATTTCTAGATTTTCTAGTTTTTCTTAAATGGCAGAATACTATAACTGCTTAATAGTTAGATTGTAATTCACTAGACAAAGTCTACAAATTCCAGCTATGAGCTCACCAGGAGGTCCCACAGCATCTTCTCCTTGTCCAATTAGAAGATGTAAAATAAACTTTGTGGTAAATATGTATTTAATGAATAATATGTTTTCTCCACAAACTGATAGATAGGGGCAACCACCGAAACTGTCTTCATCATCATCATCATCATATGTCACAGTGTGAGGCACATAATAAATACTAGGTTAAGTATTGTAATTAAATATTTCTTAGAAAGCACTTTGAAGTCTAAAAAAAATACTCAAGTCTAGAATCAAAGCATTTATGATTAGAATAGTCCATATGCAATTTATGAAATACATTCAATGTCTAAAAATGTTTTTAAAAATCTAAGTTTTTCTAAACCAGACATAATAATATAACATCACCTTCTACTCCTTCCCTATAACACCCAGTGAATATACCCATTTGTTCATCTCTGACCTTTCTCCCAATTATCCCTACTCTAGTAATCACCTGTCAAGTGTCATTTATGTCTTTAGATTTTGGAAATGTGATGAACGTAGAGAGTTCTAGCAGTAAACTGTAGGACTCCTTATACCCACTGGCTACTGTAACGGATATATGGTCACAGAAGCTGATAACAAAGCCAGATGGGGCTTAGCTAGAATTTTAAAAAATCAAGTTTAATGGCAAAGGCTGGCTCCTCATTTTTGGACCCACCCAAACCATATGATTCTGCTCAGTTTGACTTTGGAACAAATATAACTAAGGAATTAAATAAACACACAAGGTTGAACACCCTGGGAATTGAGACACATGGAAGCAGCATGTTTATTAGAGAGAGACAATGGTACAATATTAAAACAGAAATCTGTGGTTGCTTATCTGTAAATGCTCTTAAAAATTTTTTGCTCTTCCTATAATTGAATTATTAACATAAAAGGTGATGGTAGTAAACCACCACTGTCAGTTTACTTTAACTTTCATATTTAATCTTCCCCTTTTACAATAGCAGGTTTGTCACTTTAGTAACTTGGCCTTGTCAATCTAAAAGCCAAATCATAGTAACTTTTCAGTTCTAGTTGAGGCACATAATAAATACTCGGTTAAGTACTGTAATAAATATTTAGAATGTTGATCAAGCAAGTTTAGAATGTCTATAAAAAAATGCAACAATACCTTCTACAGGGGAAGGATCTGGTCCTGCTTTTTCAAAGTTTATTACCACCCCACTTTGTACTTTCTGCACCAAGGACTCCAGACACTGATTAAGCATTCTTGGAGAACATACAGAGTACGAGCGGCCTGAGACAAAAAAAAAAGAATAAAGTAAACTAGTTAGTTGCAAAAATTCCTACCTTTAAGAAGAAAAAACCATGATGGGGTTTCTGGACAGTACTAATTAACAAAAGTTCAATGGTAAAGGTTCTATCTTATAGAAGAATAAACGAAAATAGTTATTTCCAACCAAACAACCCATTTTGTCAAAATATGTAAATTTCTTTTAATTACAAGAATATGGAACACAGAAATCTTGGTCTGAACAAACTACAATGCAATAAGAAAATCACGTATTCACACATACACAAAATACTACCTCAACTGTTAATGCAACATAACATCTTTTACACACACACACACACACACACACACACACAAAACATCCAGTAACTTGTTTTTAAGGGAGATCTTTGCTATAGGGCGTACACGCTTGCCAGAGACAGGGAGAGACAGGAAGTAAGAAATCACCCAAAAGGGATAGCCATGCAGCAATCCCTTCTCTTCCATCCTCCTTCTCAGGATTTTGGGAATGCACACAAACGCATTCAGCATGAGTTTTAAGTCACTGGGTCTGGAACCTAAACTACAGTTGACCAAGTGGGAGTCCAGAGACATAACCATTATGCCATCTGCTGGCTTCAACATCCAGTAACTATTACTCCCAAATCTTACTCCTGTGTAACAAAAGAATTAACATTGAGATTTATGCTAAGCACACATTAGATACTTAATATTTAAATGTTCTGCTTTAAGTTATTACATATCTTAAATCGTTGCATTTTAATACAAAGATGGTAACATATACTTTTCTTACTTTCATTTAGCTTCACATCCTTGAAAATAACTTTCTTAAATGAATTCTCCCTACAATATTTCTAACTTCATATGCTAGTAATTAAAAAAAAAACTGATGAAAATAACTATCTTTTAAACAAGGATTTTCAACCAAAATATATAGACCTTCGCTGTCCAATACACAGATCCTAGCCATATATGGCTACTGAGAACCTGAAGTGTGTGTAGGCTGGACTGAGATGTACAGTTAAGTGTAAAATACATGTTCCTGATTTTATAGACTTAGTATGAAGAAATGTAAAGTATCTCAGTAATTTTAAAGTATCAATTTCATGTTGAAATGTTTGATATACTAATTTAAATAAAATATATTACTAAAATTAATCTATCTGTTACATTTAAACTTTAATGTGACTGTGAAATTTATAATTACAAATAGAATTGAATCATATTTCTATGATAAGGTGCTGATACAGACCAACAAGAAAAACCAATCTTCATCTAAACATCTTATGGTTTTATTTGTAATAAGCTCAATATAAAGCCTTACTCTTTCACAAATTTAACTAATTATCTCAGAATACAGCTATGTTATTATATAGGACAGAAGAAATTAGTCCTATCAACTTGTGTGACTTACTAAGGGCTACTCAGAAAAGAAAACATTAAGTATCAATGATTAACATCCTCCCAAATGGCTTTACTTAATAGAAAAACAAGTATCATAATCAACTTACCTATATACAATAATGATTATGATCTTAATCATAAAAATACAACCAATTATTAAGTATCTATGTGCTTTACACTGTTCTAGTAATTTATCATAGTAACTTATTTAATCCTAGCTACAAGTATATGGGTTATATCTCCCACCTTACAGATGAGAAAATTAAAGCACAGAGAAATTAATTAATTTATCCAAGTCAGGATAGTACAGTGATAAAGCCAAGATTCAAACCCTTTCAGGGTATTAGAAATGTTAATCTGAGTATATTTTGTGCCCTGGAAATCATGTGTTAATTTGAAATCAATATCTCAAACAGAGCATCTATATGGAGTCAAGCTTGTTTGGAAGAATTGGTAAATTAAAATGTTTTTCTATCTCAATTTAAGCATATACATGAAACCATACATAAAAGGGCTGACGATTTTGGCATGCAAAATATTTAAAAGATTATATAAGGGATTATCTAATTTCATAAAACTTAAGAAGCTTCCCAAGATGTCATTAAAAAGCAAAAAATTTTAAGTATATAACTGTGGCAATTCTACTTTCCTAACCTGTGTCATCAATTAACTTGATTAGGAAAAAAAAGGCAAATCAGTTATAATCTTAGTAGGATATAAATTACTAACAAAAATGTTTATGAAAATTAGAGAAGTTATAAATAAATAGGAATCATTCGGCAAATAAAAATCTACTAGAAGCTTTTATTCATGTAAATGTATTTATATAAATTCACAAAAAGTAATCCAGTGACATATATTGAGTCTGAAGGTAGTATTAGTATCTTAATAAAAGAGAAGAGGCAAAAGAGTATTCTGAAGTTTGGCAACAGATCTTACAATGCTAAGAGAGTTAAATTCATTTAATCTAGAAAAGGCAATAAATGATTTTAAAAGGCTTCTTTAATCTTTGATATTTTTACCAACATGTCTATTAGACATGTCTAATAGGCTATCATCCCTGTACCTCCCCTAACCTTGTTTCTGCACAGTGCAACATGTAAGTTCATGGCACAGCCATTCATCTTTAGTAGTTCAGGGCAACTGAATGATCTGAGAATCATCCTTGAACCTCACTCTCTTAAGCTTGGTTCTCCTCTGCATCTGACTGCCTCTCACCACCTCCAAACCTAGCATGTTAGACCAAAATACTATCATCTCTTATCTCTTACCGCTTCTATTCATGTCACTCTACAGTATATTCTCATGTAGCAGCTGAAGTTGACCTTTCAGAAAAATAAATCAGAAGTCACCCCCATTAAGAAGTCCTCTATAATGGCTTCTCATCACACTTGGAAAATTAAAAAATAATTATTATAGCCTAAAAGACTTCGGTATTTGGGCCCTGCCCACTTCTCTAAACATAGCAATTATTCTCTACTTCTCCCTTCTCTCTAGTCACATCAGCCTTACTGTGGCTTGCTCCCAAATATTTCATCTAGAGTATGTTCTTTTTTTTCTTTTTTTTTTTTCCCAAACTTGTGAGAAATGTTTGCTATAGGGCAAGCACGCTCGTTGGACAGAGACACAGAAAACAAAGAGACAGAAAGCAAGAAATCACCCCCCACAGAGGATGGCCATGCCGCAATCACCTCTCCTCCATTCTCCTCCTGGGATTTTGGGAAGCATGCACAGGCACCTGGTGTGAGTTTCAAGGTGCCAGGTCCAGGACTCAAACCACGGTCATCCTCATGGGGAGTCCAGCAACATTACTATTATACCATGTGCTAATCCCTCATGTTCTTATTCTTACTATTTTCCTCTGCCTAGATCTTTCTGTGCTTCATTCTATTTTTCAGGCCTTTGCTCAAATGCCACCTCCTTTAGAAAAAAACTCACCTAGAATACTCATTTTTCTCTGTCTCAAATTATTCTCTATTCCCATTACTCTAATTTTTTTCTTCATAGTTGGTTACACTCCCTAAAATATCATCATTCATTTTATATGATTATTATCTGTCATCTAGTCCAAGGATACAAGTTTTCTATCTATTGTTCCTGATGTATTCCCAGCATCTAGAACCATTATCTGGCATAGAGTGGACACTCATTAATTACCTGCTAACAAAAGAAAAATGCCTACAATTATACAATTTTTAAAAAGCATATGTAGGACCCAGCAGATGGCATTATGTTTGCATTGCTGGACTTCCATGTAGTCTATCATGGTTCGAGTCCCAGGCCTGGTGACTTAAAACTCACGCTGGGCATATGTGCATACATGCCCAAAATCTCAAGAGGAGAAGTGACTGCGGCATGGCCATCCTCCTTATTTCTCACTTTCTGTCTGTCTCTCTCTAACAAGCACATGTGGTCTACAGCAAAAATCTCTGTCAATCAATCAATCAATAGCATATGTAAAAACTATATATATAACAAAATATTAATTATTGGGGCCAGTAGATGGCACAGTAGTTAAGGCGCTGGATCCCCACGTGGCTGATCACATTTTGAGTTCTAGACCTAGTGGCTTGTTTCTCACTTTCTCTCTCTCCTCTCTCTGGTGAATAATAATAATAATTAAATAAAGAGTTTTATAAATTATTTTGGTAATATAGTGATTTTTTTCCAATTTTTCCTTAGTGAACATGAATTATTCTATAATGGGAAAAATGTGTATATGCACACATATCTCTTAAACCAAGTTAAAACACACAGCAATCCTTACAGTGATTATATATATGGATAATACAATATGAGTAGATTTTTTTTCTTACTTTTCTGATGTTTCATTCCCATTTTTTTTTTTTTTAGTGAACAGTGGCTTTTTTTTTTAATTAAAAAAAAGAAAATACATTTTCAGATATATGAAAAGGTGAGTGGCATCTGAGCAGTTTCCTATTATTATTAACTAGAGCATGAAAAAGTACAAATGAACTATTACATCAAGAGGGAGTCAAAATGTATATTTAGGGAAAACTCCCTAATTCCTTCACTAAAATTTCTTGGTCAGTGAAAAGTATTACCAAGAGTGACTTCGGAATCTTCTCTGGAGATGTTCCTTTCAAAGAATAAATGAGATAACTTTAGTACATTACTGCCTAATGGCAAAGATATCAACTACTACACGATTTCTCAAGGTTCTTTTCAGGCTCTCTGATTATACCACTCACTTCATTTCATACTCTGAATATTTCTGAGCCCAGAAGACAGAGATGTAGTACACATTAGTCCCATAACTTCATCATAAATCTAAGCTGAAACGAAGTAATCCGCAGTAAGAAAATTTCCTATTCATGGATATTTAAATTAAGCCCTTAAAGCTCTTCACCATCTATTAAGTAAAAACCCTAAGCTTAAAAAAGAAAAAGTCAGGATTTTAATAGGTGGGCCAGTTCAAAGTAGAAAACTCAAATTTCAAGAATATAAATGTCAACTTCCCAAAGAAACAATTGGGACTGCCATGGAAAATACTCATGTAGAGAAAGAACCAACAGCAGTGAATTTTCAAATTTAGATGCTAAGATGGATTGTCCCTAAAAACAAATATACACATATCTTTTCTTTCATAAACTATGAACGCATGACCAGAGTTAACAAAAAATATTTCTATAAAATAGAAGCATTTAATAATGTGAAAAACAATTTCCTAATTTATCTACTTCATATATCTATATAAGGCTAATCCTTTTTTGTTTGGAAACTCGGTAGAGTTCCAAAACTCCCTAGATTTTAGAACTTGTATTTTCTCTGAGCTTACATAGCTTAGATATGATGGAATCTCAACAGAATATCAACTGTGTCTGGAGACTATGTCACTGGTCCCTATCACAGGTGGAATAGTGGTATGGCAGACATATGCATTTTAATATTAAACTTGAGTGAATTAAAGTGTTCCCCCATGACAGCAAAAAATGCCACATCTGTCGTATTGACTACTGAAACCCTGAATTCATGAGCAATGTATAATACATACTAGGCACTCAAAGCACATGGAAGATCTGCAAAAAGTACACAGAAAATGCTACTATGAGAAAACTATGTATGGATTTTTCTTTTGCACCAAGTTAATTTGTACTTTAAGTCCACCTTTTCTATAAACTTTCTGAAGTCCCCTTGAATCTATATAAAATTAATCAACTTGCTAATAGATTCCATGTTATAAACATTCTGAGTCTATCATATGTTCTATTTCAAGATTTTCATTATCTGACTGGATATAAACTAGTCAAGACCTCATTACCTGTTTCTTTTAACCTATCTTTTTGTCTCTGGGAAGAACTCCATTTAACCAGGCATATTCCATCAAATGGACAATGAAATGATTCTCAAAACATTTTTTTCCACCAAAAAAAAGCCATATTTCTAAATTATTACCAATCTTTGTAGATAGAAAAATTAATTTACAACTTTAAACACCAGCATTTTCTATGTGGGTTGAAAAAGTTACCATTCATTATTAGATTCAACAGCAATCATATTCTATTCAAATCAAGATCTAAGACTACATTAATAAATGTTTTAAAATCTTATGTCTATTAATAACATTAACTTAAGGAAAAACAAACAGGATTTTTAAAATGTACACTTATAAAAATTTAGATCAACTCTGCTTTAAGTCACTGAATACTGCCAGCAAAAAACTTACCGCCTGTTACTTCACACATTGGTGTGATTGCAGAGTCATCTAAAGGAACACCTGTCAACTGTTCTGATTCTACTGACATGGTGCCAGGCAACCGCAACACTAATGCAAAGAGTCTCTGATCCCAACGAAAAGGTTCCTTGGTCAATTCACTTCCAGGCAAAGGAGAATTAAGAGGTAAATGGAGCTGAAAGTAGGGGGGGGAAAAATCAGTAAGATTTCCACACACTATTTTATTGAAAAGGCTACTTTAAAACATTTATATTAAAACTATATTGAGTCTCCTATCATTTCAAAAACAAGTTCAAAAATAAAAGCTTATTAGATATATCTAGAATACTACATGATATTTTACTTTAATTTTTTAAAACTTTACTCTGAAGACCTGAATTTAAAAAGAAAAATCATTATTATAATGCATTTCAAATTTAACCACCAAGTGGCTTGACTGCTTCCAAATAAGTTATTTTGTTAAAAACAGAAAAAACCCTCTCTCTCTAATATATATATACATATATATATACATACACACACATATATACATACACATATATATACATATATTATGCATATTATATATGGCATACATAAAAATTCTATATATGTAAGACATGAAATATATCATTTATAACACTCTTATATATGTAAAATTATGTGTGTGTGTATATCTCAGGAAAATGATTTGGTTCAAGCCAGTGCTTTTTCTATTACATCACAGCAGCCTTGAATATCCCTATAGTTCTTTCATATAAGACATACATTCCCAAAGCATATGTATAAAAGTCAATTTTGCCACTAACTATATATTGAACATAACTAAAAGTCATGATTCTTACCACATCTGAGTAATTAATTACAGAGGGATTAAGGAGTAGTTTTATGTGTTTAATAAATATTTACCCTATTCTCATCGGACCTGCTAAAACAGAGCACAATCTCCTCTAAGAGTCTTAAAAATCTTGGAAATCTTTAAAGTGACTCTAATGGCACATCTGTACCAACGAAGTATCAGAATACCAACAGAAACCATACATATCACTGAAAGAGGGACAGCAGACACATTTCCTCATGATGTAACACAATGAAAAGTTTGTAAAATCAACTCTAAAGAATTCTTACAAAAAGGAACAAGGGGGACCAGCAGTTAGTGTAACAGCTATGTCACTGGACTCCCATGTAGTCGACCGCGGTTTGAGTCCCGGACCTGGTGACTTAAACTCATGCCGGGTGCATGTGCGTGGGTGCCCAAGATCCCTAGAGGAGAACAGAGAAGAAGAAACTGTGGTGTGGTCATCCCCCCTGGGGGGTGATTTCTCGCTTTCTGTCTCTCTCTCTTTCTGGCGAGCGCACACATCCTATGGCAAAAACCTCCCCCCGCCCGCCCAAAAAAGGAACAAGGGATGCAAAAAGAGAAAAGAGACATGAAATGAAGAGAAGTGAAAAGGAAAAAAACAAAAAAGGTTGCATAGGTGAGTTCCAGCAGCTCGGGGGCGGAAGGAGCGGTAGGGTTTATCTGCTCAACTCCACAAAGGGGCACCGCAGTCTCATCAGGCACCCAACAAGCACCCCTGTCCGCAGCCAAGATGCCCAAGAGGAGATCAGTGAGGTTGTCAGCTAAACCTGCTCCTGCAAAGTGGAGACCAAGCCAAAAAAAGGCGGCAGGGAAGGAGAAATATTCCAACAAGAGAGTGCAAACAAAAGGGGAAAAGGGAGCAAAGGGGAAACAGGCTCAAGTGACCAACCAAGACAGAAAATGAAGAAACTAAAAATGAGTTTACCCTCTGATGAAGCAGGCGAGAAAGAAGTCAAGTCTGAATAACGTCACATACCATGTCTTACCAATGGTCCCTGTCTCCCTTCTTGTACAATCCAGAGGAATATATTTATCGACTATTTTGTAAATGCAAGTTTTTTAATAGTTCTAGAAACATTTTTAAGGAGAGAATCCCACCTCATCCCATTTTTAAGTGTAAATGCTTTTTTTTTTAAGAGGTGAAATCATTGGGACCAGCAGTTAGTGTAATGGCTATGTCGCTGGACTCCCATAGAGTCGACCATGGTTTGAGTCCTGGACCCCGTGGCTTAAACTGACACTGGGCACGTGTGCCAAGAGGAGAATGGAGGAGAAGGGACTGTGGCGTGGCCACCCCCCCCCGGGGGGTGATTTCTCGCTTTCTGTCTTTCTGTCTCTCTGGTGAGCACACACGCCCTATAACAAAAACCTCTCAAAAAAAAAAAAAAAAAAGGGAGGTGAAATCATTTACTGCTTATTTACTTGTTTATTTTTCAGTACAACAACCAGAAAATAGCGGGATATTGACTTATAGGAGGCTTTGACTCTCTTGCGTGTCAGCTTAACATTCCATAGGTGGGGGCAGGTGGGTAGTTTTTATATCCTAAATACAAAGCATACTAAACAGCAGTTAGGAGTCACAGTCATGCATTTAACGTGTCTTGAATATTTTAAATTACTTCTATTATGTTTTTTAGTAGTATTATTTCCTGAAGAAAACCACTCTTTGATTGTTGCTCTCCCTGTCAGAATTGTGCACACTCTGTAACATCATCTTTGGTTGTGGTAGTCCAGTTTTCCTAGTAATTTTGTTAATGTGCTGTGAAAGATTGGAAATTTGAAGTATGTAGTGTGTATGATATTAAATTGTGATTTGGTGGGACTTACATAACACCTTTCAACATCTGAAGACAGTGGTTCTTGATATCCTCAATATAAGGAAAATTTGCCTACAAATTTGAAGCTGGAATAACTTAAAAAGAATCACTATACTTGGCTTCTTAAGTTTTTGGTATGTATGTTAAGAATTAGGTACAAATTGAAATGTCTATACTGATCCTTGACACAACAAATAAATCTCAATTACAAAAAATAAATAAATAAATCAAGTCTTTAGTTCTAACTACCAGTTAACAGAAAATATTAGAATATAGGATCAAATTACCACCCACGAGGGAGCAATCAGTCAAATCCAGAATGTGGGAATTCTACAGGACAGATGGCCTGGTTTCTCCAATAAATAAATGACATAAAAAAGCCAAGAGGAGGGTGTTCAAACTATTTTAAAAGGGACAAAGAGCAAAAATTTTTGAGATATTCAGGGAATATGAAAAATATATTACTAGAATTAGTAATATGTTCAATGTATAATGGTATGATGCTTAGGAAAACAAAACTCCTTATCACTCATAAAATTTTTAGAAATTAAGGTCCAGGATCAATACCCTCAGGGACTTATTATCAATATTTCTATAGACATTAGAGTTTGTTTTGTTTTGTTCAACACACTTTAAAAATGATCAATTCCCTGTAACGCAGCAGTTAGTCTTGTGTAAAAGGGAGTTAGATCCCACATGGCCAATACCAAGGTTCAATCTTATCCTCAGCAGCTTAGAAAATAGGTGAGGCACACGTGAACATTTACTCAAAATCCTGATAGATGGAAGGAATGGAAGAAGAAGGACTGTAAAAGGCAGAACCATACCCCATTAGGGGTTACCTCTCTCATGCATGTGCTCTCTTTCTTTCTAGCAAGCCCATGAGCCCACTGGCAAATGAGGGGGAAAGGGTATTAGAATAATATATTTTGAATTAATTGCCAGAGTTTTATCAATTTCTTCATAAAGCAAGAACCTACTGCATTGCTTTACAGCACTGTGTGTTAATACCACACAGACAAGACTTCTGAACTTGATAAACTGGATTGAAGTCATTATACACTGATTTAAGACTCAAGTTCTCTCACCGACTTACATCAAACCCTTACAAAAACTGTTTTCTATTCTAGGGAGAGTTCCTAGTGAAGCTGTTCTATACTGGCACCTTTCTCCAAAAGATTTGTGCTAAGAGAACACATTACAAGATTCCTTTATCAAGGTCAGCCATGATTTTGTGACCATGAAAATCACAAGTCCTTCCTCTGGCACTGCTCCTACTTAAGGCAGAAGGAAGAGGCAATAGAGAACGAATGCTGAAAAAATCTGGGCCAGGATGTTCTGTGAGAAAGGTTGCCTAACCTCAGAAGAACTTCAGGCCCTTGCTGCTATCACCACACCCTCCCTCCCAGAAGATAAGTGAGAACCAGTGTTTATATCACGTCCTTCTTACACTACAACATCCAACCGTCTTTGTATTCAGGGTCACAACTAAGTGGTCATTTTCTTTTTGAGATTATAGAAACTCAAAGCACCAGTGGTATTGGCTAAAGAAGGTTGTCAGCCATGAATATAGTTGCTCTTCAAAGGAATGTTTGCACAGAACTGCATGTGTCTAGTTTATCTAGGGGATAAAAATTACATGGACCACAAATACATAAAATTAATCATGTAATGATACATCTGCATTGCAGGCAATATACAATTAAACAACTAGCTTTTGGCTGTACTATATTAGATCTAGAATGTATTTCAAGTGAAATTTAAAAGCCAACAAGGGTAACAAGCATATTTTCAAGTATTTTATACGTAGCTTTTGCGATTTCAATTTTGAATTAGAAAAAAAAAATCGCCAAATTTGTATTCATTTTTCTAATATCACCAAAGAGGGACAAAATTCTCTATAGTGGAGATGCATTATTAAAATAGGAAGAAGTGACGGCAGACAAACAGGAACAGGAATAAGATAAAAACCTAAAGAAAAAATAGGTTTAGGGAGAGTGAATCACTCTAAATATAAAGTTTGTAGCTGAAATCTAATAATGAATTAAAATCACAAAAGGGGAAGGTTCTTCCTGAATATATGAACTTTGAGAATTAAAGCAAACTGCATATAAATCTAGAAGAAAATTGTAAGATTAACCAGTAGAAAGATGTTCAATGAAAGTAAAAAGTGAGCAAAAGGATACCCAATAAAAAATCCATATGGACTATGAACATGTAAAAAGGAAACTCAAATAACTAGTCATCATAAAACACAAATTCAAGTTATCGGTGAGAAACTATTTCACACCTGTAAGATTGGGGAAAATTTTTTAAAGTTTGACAATAGCAAAAGATGTTTAAAAAAACAGCATGAGATGATAAGAGTGAGAATTTTTGAACACTTCACAGGAAAATGGGAACTTTCCAACTCTCCTCCTAAGCCTACAAACGTAACCATTTGGAAATATCATTTGGTAAGGCTGCAAATGGGCTTAACCTAGAACCTCACAATGCCATCTCTATAGAAACTGTCAC